GCAAGTTACTGAGAGTATCCTGCCTACGTGGCAAAGCCTGGTAAGCTACCCATGGCATATTCAATATGCCAAAAACAGTAACAAGTCTCACAATGGAGATGTTACTAGTGCCCACTTGAGCAAATCGATGAACAACAGGATGACAGTGCTATAGTGCTATTAACAGTACTTAAATTGGGGGTCCAGAGTTAGATCAAAGCATGTAGGGTACTTGCCTTGCAAGTGGCCAACTAATTTATCCCCAGCACCCCATATGGTTCTCTGAGTGATCCATGCCAAGAGTGATCCATGAGCAAGACCTTCAGGGTGTGAACCAAAAGCAGAAAAAGAAAGGAAAAAAGGAAGGTGGGCCACCTGCTCCCGCTTGGCGGCTTGGTGACCACATTCCGACCGGGGGCCATTGGACAGTTAGGTTTGGGCCCGCAGTGGCAAGACATGCGGGGCCTCACGGATGGGGGCGTGCAGCCGGCCATTTCCTCCCTATCCTAACGAGACCCTGAGTCAATGCATATGAACAGCCTCTCTGGCTCCTGATCAAGCTGTTTAATGGCCATGATCCCAGTGACTCAGAAACAGACCTCGAAACCCAATGGCTTTCGGCAGAAATGTGTCTGGACCGTGCAGTAGGTTACTGTTGCCGGGCCACCCCAGAGGTGAAAGGGTGTTGTCCCTCCATCTGCTCCTCCTAGGTGGCTCGGTGGCTGCCATCCTCCAGAGGCCACTGGACAGTCAGGTTTGGGTCCTCAGTGATGAGACACGCGGGGACGCAGGGCCTCACGGGATGGGGGTGGAGCCGGCCCTTTTCTCCCTGTCCCAATGAGACCCCTAGTCACCGTCCATGAATGGCCTTTCAGGCTCCTGATCAAGCTGCTTAACGGCCATGATCCCAGAGACTTAGGAACAAATCTCGAAACCCAGCAGGTTTTGGCAGAAATCCTTCCAGATTTAAGTGTTAAAATTTCAGAATTTCAAAATCACACAGCCACTACTGCATCCACGTGACATCATATGTTATTCATTACCAGCAATAGAAAACAAATTGTCCACTGTTGCCTTTTCAGCAGATCTGAGTGTTGGGGTAAAATCCCAAATAATAATGGTGGGTCTGGTGTCAAAATGTTGAATGTGATCAAAATAGAGAGAGAGTAATGTGGAAATCATCTGCCCCACAGGTAGGGGGAGGGTGTGGGATGGGGGTATACTGGGGTTTTTGGTGGTGGAGAATGGGCATTGGTGAAGGTACGGATGTTTCATTGTATGAACGAGACTTAAACCGAAAGCTTTGTAACTGCTCTCACGGTAATTCAATAAATAAAATTATAAAGAATAAAAAAAAGAAAGGTGGAGTTCATGCCCAATTCAATCAGCTAATCAGTGGCTGAATAAATAGCAGTATTCCTACATTTAAAAAAAAAAAAAAAGGTAGGCCTGGGCAGCAGTACAGTGCAGCAGACCTGGGTTCAATCTTCGGTGTCCCATGTGCCGCCCTGTATACTGCCAGTAGTGATTCCCAAGTGCAGAGTCAGGAGTAGCCCTGAACAAGATGCCCTACACTCCTGTTCATTGTTGGTGGGAATGTTGATTGTTGTAGCCTTTTTAGAAAACAATATGGACATTCTTCATAAAACTAGAAATTAAGCTTTTATACCCAGGCAATACTGCTTCTGGGAATATACCCAAGGACCCCAAAACACTATGAAGAAAAGATATCTGCATTCTTATGTTCATTTCAGCAATATTCTGGAATCAGCCAGAATCATAGCCAGAATCTGGAAACAACTCCCGTTCTTGATAACAGATGAGTGGACAAAGAACCTATGGTGTATCTACACAATGGATGGAATACTATGCAACTGTAAGGGGGGAGAAATGAATTCCTGAAATTTGCTTGTATACAAATGGACATGAAGACTAGCATGCTGAGAGAAATGAGTCAGAGGGAGAGGGACAGACACAGAATGTTCACAGCCATTTGTGGAATATATATATATATATATATATATATATATAAAGTACGAAAATAATACCCAGAGACAATAGAAACGAGGGCCAAGAGGACTGGTCCATGGTAGAAAGCTTGCCAGAATATGTGTGTGTGTGTGTGTGTGTGTGATGGGGCAAGGAAGGGAACTATGACAATGATAGTTGGAAATGATTACTCTGGACAATAACTGCTGAAAAAAAGGTAAAGTGATATGCATGATAACATTTCAGTAACAGTATTGAAAATCACAGTGTATTGTCACTGTCACTGTCCTCCCGTTGTTCATCAATTTGCTCGAGTGGGCCCAGTAACGTCTCCATTGGAGACTTTGTTGTTACTGTGTTTGGCATATCGAATACATCATGGGTAGCTTGCCAGACTCTGCCGTGCGTGCGAGATACTCTCGGTAGCTTGCCAGACTCTCCGAGAGGGGCAGAGGAATTGAACTCGGGTCGGCCATGTTGGCTGCGTGCAAGGCAAACGCCCTACCGCTGTAGGGGCTGGAGCGATAGCACAGCGGGTAGGGCGTTTGCCTTGCACGCAGCCAACATGGCCGACACAGGTTCAATTCCCAGCGTCCCATATGGTCCCCCGAGCACTGCCAGGAGCAATTCCTGAGTACATGAGCTAGGAGTAACCCCTGAGCATCGCAGGGTGTGACCCAAAAAGCAAAAAGCAAAAAAAAAAAAAAAACAAGCACAGTGCATTAAAGGAAAAAAAAAAAGAAAAATATCTGCCATAGAGGCATAGAGGCAGCCTGACGTTGGGGGGAGGGCAAACTGGTGATGAGACATGTACACTGATAAAGGGATGGGTGTTGGAACATTCTATACAGACCAATCATGACCAATTTTGTAACTATCACAAGCTGATTCAATTAAAAATTTTTAAAAGTTTTTCAAGAGGTTCTATTAAGTAGGAGAACCTCTGGGGAGATAGCACAGTGATTGAAGAGCTTGCCTTCAATGCACCAACCTGGGTTCAATGCCCCGCTCCCCATATGGTTGCCTATGTTTTACCAGAAGTGATCCCTGAGCAGCACCAGAGGTAGACCAGAAACAAACAAAAAACCCAGTATTTGTCACCACACATCTAACAAAAGGCAAAGATCCAAGATTTAGAAAGTACTCACAAGGAAAAAAAAAAATCCTCAAAAAAATGGGGAGACAAGTTGAGCAGACACTTCCTCAAAGAGATACAGAAATAGATAAGATAGTGAACAGGTATATGAAAGAGAGTTCTTAGCACCCATCAGGGGAAAGACAAACCAAGATGGCATTGAGTTATCAACTCATAACAGGCCAGATTGCATACATCTAAGGACCTGAAACAACAATGGTGATGGGGATGGAGTGGAAAGGACCCCTCATCCACCTCTGGTGTGACTGATTCACTGTCTAACATTCAGTATGGGTGAAGATATCTAGAAAAATCAGTAGTGCTTCCATGTGTAATCAGTAGTGCTTCCATGTAGTTGTGTATTCAAAAAATAAATTAAGAAAAGTCACTGTGGCTTTCTCACCACCTGCGTTTGGTGGTCTCGTGCCTCTTCCCCCACCCCAGGGCAACCGATGGCGATGAGTGGATAAAGGAGGGAACAAGGGCCAGGCTGGTTGGTCTCAATTGCAGTGAAATTCCATCTATGGGTGTGTTTCTATTCTCCTTAGTACAACAAACATATAAACATTCATATTAGTCATTTTGTATAGACACAGTAAGAGATACATTAAGCTTATAGGATTGCTCTCCTGGGGCCATCTCGTTATAGATCTCAGACTACAGTGCTCAGGCCAGATTAATCTTTCCTAACCCTAGCAGGGTCCTAATCTTGTTGTTACTTTTTGGATAATGATAGAATTTGTCCATGACCATGCCTTTAACTTATAGTTAAGTATTGTGGCACTTTGGCCTGGCCTATTTCGATGCCAAGGTAGCTCACAGCTTGCCCTGGGTCCGTTCAGTCCCCCGTCGGGACCCTCTTTTGTGGTACTAGGAACTAAGGGCAACTGAGGCTTAAGTCAAGAAAGCAGATGCCCACGAGTGAATATTATTTGGAGTCAATTAACTCCAAGTTATAAAAGCTTAATATTAACTTTTCCTGTGCCTATCCAAAAAGGAAATTGGTTTAAAGTAAACTATTCAAAAGACATAAGGAGGGAAGAAAGGCAATATTTAACTTACAATACAAGTTCAGTGTCCTTAGAAGGATCTGACTTTACAAGTTAACAGAGTCTGATTAGGGAAAAAGGTGATAGACCGGTTGGGGAAGAGAGCACAGAGAAGTTATAGATAAGCACAGAGGAATGGGAGTGACTCAGGAGTAATGGGTGATGAATGTAACCCGATAAACCCAAGTTCCCTGTGGCAAGGGAGAAAGGCCAAACCAATGTTATCCTACACTGGTGATTCTTTGGCATCTACCCTCAAAGCACAAGAACATTAAAAAAGATTTTTGCATTATTGTGTTCACTGCAGCACTACTCACAATAGCAAAATCTGGAAACAAACTAAGTGCCTAAAAACTGATGAAAGGATGAAGATATGTTTATCATTCATTCATATGTATACACACATATACACATATATATGAGGTATATAAATATGAGATATATAAAATATATATCCATTCCACTGCCACCTGGCAGTACTCAGGCAGTGAATATATATTTATTCACACAATGAACTTGGGTCAGCCACATGCATGGCAGGCATCTTACTATCTCCAACCCCTACTAGCAATCACTTTTTGCCTGAGAAATGCAACACCAATGAATGCAAACAGAAACACCTAGAATTCATAATGTGATTGATTTTGAATTTTTGTTATTGCACATTCAGAAACCTTTCACTGTTGCCAAAATTGTTGTAGTTTCCCCACAATCGGTTATTCACAGTTAAAGAAGCTAGGAAATACATTATCCTAGCCTTTGAAATAGGCAGTGGGAAGTGTTGTTTACATATGAGAAAAAGTCAACAAACAATTTAGAGAAAATCATCTTTCCATTAGCCAGTGATGTCAGGACTAGATTTTTATTTATTTATTTTTGTGCATTCCATTATCTTAGGCTGCATGTATACAAGAGAAGAGCCAGCTTGTATTCCAAGTCATTTTCCTTGTTTCCTATCTGGAAATTCATATTCCTTCCATTCCTTCCATCCTCCGGGATAGTGTTGAGCACTAAAAACATGTATCAAAAAGTTAGTACTCTTCTAGCAAATGGAACATTTTCTCTTATTTTATAACACAAGGTTCATGGAAATTTTAGAGAACTGTAGCAACTGTTAAGAGACAATGGCTACTCAACTTACCATACTCTTAAACCTTTAAGTTTATTTAAAAGACTTTTGAGTAGAATTTTGATAGGCTTTTAATCTTGCTAATTTGCCATTAATAACAAACAGTATAATTACTAGGTAGATCAGTAAAATAATACATATGAAATATGTACTGAAGGTGAAACATGATCATTTTGTATGAATATGAAATATTGCAATAAATACATATGGAAATATGAACATGAAACATGAACATTTCTTATGAATATGAAATATTGCAATAAACCCTTGGGTCTCTTTAAAATTTTTTTGTGTGTCATATCTGGCAGTACTTGCAAGCTCATTGCTCAGGGGTGTTGGGAACCAAACCTGGAGCTCCAGCATGAAAAGCTTTAAAGTCCTTGGTCCTTGAATCCTTTTTTTTTTTTTCTTGGTCACACCTGGCAATGCTCAGGGCTGACTCCTGGCTCTGCACACTCAGGAATTACTCCTGGCAGTGCTAGGGATCCATTACAGGTTGGCTGTGCCCAAGGCAAGTGCTCAACTCACTGTACTATCACTCTGGCCCCTTGAATCCATTTTTATCCTTCACATATTACCTGTCAAATCCCAGAGATATGGCTGTACCCAAAGCCTTCTTGCTTCTCAATCCGGCCAAACAAGAAAACACCACTCTATCAGATTTAAGTGGCTTTGCTTCCTTGTACTTGTCTTTGAAGTCTTCTGGGTCCATCTGTAGAGCTTCATCTACTTCAGCCACTGAAAGAAAATATTAGGAATTTCAATTGTAGATAAAGCAATTATTAAATTGATACAAAGCGAATTAAAAACTTGTTACTTACATGGTATGTTGACAGATCCAGGAATTTTTCCATGCTCAAGAATTTCCTGTGCTCCTCTAACATCAATTAAGATAATTTTTTTGGAATTCAACAGGTTTTTAAGTTCCTTGTAAGTGATATCTTTAGATGAAGCAGTACAAAAATTATGGCAGCTTCCCTTGACTGACTTCACCCCTGGAAAGAAGAAAACCATTTAAGTCCCTTCAAATTGCCCAATGGGCGGGCTAACGGCATAGAGAGGGGAGATGCACCAGTTTATATAAGTGAAGCTCCAACAGCTGTTCTAGCTGCTCATACTTTTTTTCCCTCCCAAAACTTCTTTTGTGGGTGGGGTGGGGTGTTTGGTGGTGATCCAGGAACCATATGTAGTACCAGCATCAGTTACCTGCAAGGCAAGCCTTAACCTCCTAAACTCTCTGAGCCCTTACAACACCCACATCTTTTTGATCTCCTCTGCTAGTCAGACAGGTGTGCAGCCCTTGCTGTGTCATATCTTCACAGTGCAGTTCTTACTATGCTACAGGAACACTTCAAAATGACAGAGCTTTAATACCAGGAAAGAGTAGATCAAAGGACACCAGCTGAGTAAACCCTTTGGAGAAAGATGGTCACTTCCTCTAGGTAGGCTTCCCAATGTATGAGCCTCTATCCTTCATCAATTATTTGAAGCTACAGCGTGTTTTTGGGGGAATAGCATGCCTCATCTAAACACTTCATTTGGTGCTCAACAAAACAGTGACCTTTTTCTTCATGAAGAAAAATCGGCTTCCATGTAAGATTTTATTGAAGGATTTTCAAAAGCAACATAAACTATAATTTTCTACTTTGCTAAGAGGCTGAAGCGATATTACCTTGCTTACTTAGGTTCAATTCCGACATTCTGTATAGTCCACCAAACCTGCCAGGAATGACTCCTGTGTATAGAGCCAGGAACCCTGAGCATGCAACGCGTGGATCAAAAAATAGAAAAAAAAATTTTTTTTCCATCTTGTTGAGCCTAATTTTTTTGTGGTTGAAAGTTTTATTACAGTACAAAAATGAAAGTGAAGTTTGAATATTAATTTTTCTTTTTTATTTTATTTTTTATTTATTTATTGAATCACCGTGGGAAAGGTTACAAAGCTTTCAGGTTTATGTCTCAGTCATGCAAATATCAAACACATTTCCCTTTACCAATACTCATTTTTTACCATGAAGAACCCCAATAAAACCCCACCCCCCACCCCTCCCCGTCCCTGTGAGGCAGATGAATTCTAGTTAACACTCTATCTGCTTTGATTAGACCCATTGCTTCAACAAAAGATTCACCACTATTTGAATATTAATTTTTCAACATCCTATATCTCCATTACAATTATACCAATTACAATGAGTCTGCAATGCAAAGAAATCATTTTAATTCTTTAAAAAATTTATTTTAGTCACCCTGATTTACAATACTGTCAATGATAGCATTTCCGGACACAACATTCCAACTCTACCCCTCCACCAGAGTGTCTACTTCCCTCCACCATGACAGCCTGCATGAGACTGTCCCCACAGCCCACTCCACCCCCCGCATCTCCCTGCCATATTAAATTCAGTTCTATGTACCAGCTCTCACATTCTGTTCCCAGTCTGAACGTTGAATAAATTCTGATTTTGCTGTTTCCACAGTGCTAATTAATTTCATCTTCCATCCTCACCTCGTACCATAGTCTACTATTAAAGGACATAGCTCATACGCTCTAGAATGTTCTATAGTGTTCTTCAGCCCTCTGGACCAGCACAGCCTGGAAAGTTTCCCCATTTCCTCTTACCTCATGCACTAAAAATATATATGTATGTGTATCTATATAGACACATACATGTACATACTGGAATGATGGAAAGATAAGGGAGTTATAGCAAGGTTCAAATCCTTAAGCTTCGTAATTTTGGAAAGATTACTTTGTGGAAACTGTTTTTGAGTCAAACATATTTCCTCAAAGTTTTTATGCTTTACTTAGGTGGGAAATAAAAACTGAGGGAGTAATTTAGCAACCAGAAGCAACCAGGAAATTGCTCCTGGTTATTTCAGCATTATTATCCTGTCAGGTGGACTGGAGCGATAGTACAGTGGGTAGGACATTGGCCTTGCACATGGCTGACCCAAGTTCAATTTCTCCACCCCTCTCTGAGAGCCCGACAAGCTACGGAGAGTAAACTGCCCTCTTGGCAAAGCCTGGCAAGCTATCCGTGACGTATTCGATAAGCCAAAAACAGTAACAAGTCTCATAATGGAGACGACACTGGTGCCTTCTCGAGCAAATCGATGAACAGGAGGACAGTGCTACAGTGCTATTCTGTCAGGAGACTTTCTGCCTACTAATTATGGATATACAAATGAATCAGAGAGCTAATTCAAGTGTCACTACCAAAGTCCTAACTTCAGACTTGATCCTTTACAACTCCCCCTGTGTCCTGACTTTTGTGGTACATGCCTTGGAACCACTCCTCGGCCATATACCTAAATTGTGCATGATTCCTTTTCTTGAATAAATCCTTTCTACTTATATTAAAGCCTTATTATTTCTTGCCAATAATCCCAGCTTTCTGGGATTTGGTTACTTATGTATAAAGTGGAGATCCTTTAACCTTTTTAGAGTTACTGAGGTTTAAATAATCTATATGGTGCAATCAGTATTTCTGACTCTTCTTCATGACTTATGTACAGTTCTTTCTGAATGGAGTATTTCTCCCTGGCATCCTTCTTTCCTTTAAGACTTAGTTAAAGGCTGGGAGAGATGGTACAGTGAATAAGGGAGTTGCCCTGCCTGCAGTAGATTCAGGTTTGATTCCCTGGCACCCCATATGGTCCCCTGAGCCCCATCCCTGAGTGCAGTCAGGAGTAAGCCCTGAATACTGCCAGGTGCGACTCTTTCCCAAAAAAGACTCAGTTAAATGTCACTTGTTGGCTCTTTGATCCAACAATTCCACTTTTAGATATCCATTCTAGTAAAATCTGTATGTAAACAGAGAGATACAAATAACTGGTTGAAAACGATATAGTTATTGAAACAACAACAAATCAGAAACTAAAATGCCCACAGTAGGTACTTGTTAAGCCTGACAATCCATACTAAGGGAAATATGTAGTGAATGGAGTTGTATCTGCTGCCGAAAAGCTTCTGAACACTTAAGTATTTGAAGTATACGGTGTAGATCATATATACGATAATAAACTTATATTCTACACTTCTCTATTTTATGGATGTTTATAGTCATAGAAAAGCACTTGAAAATGTGGGCCAAACTATTTGAGGAGACTGGAATGAGGAGGGCTTGTACTAGAGAATATATTCTGTGCTTTACTGTATATTTTAATGTAATTAAACTTAATTGTAATCATGAATTACTGATACACATTTTTAAGCGAAACGGCAACTTTTCTATTATCAGTTCCTCCAATTTGGGTAGTGCCCCCGGTTCTTGGAATTGCTGCCTGGCTCCACCGGGCAGCGAGTGGGGTGAGGGTTCACTGCGTTCATCTGCAACCCTCCTGCCCCAAACTCCCGGGAGCAAACCCAGACTATGCAGGCACCGAGAAAGATCGCTGAGCTGGGTGGAAAGCCGACAATGAGGAATTTGCCTAGGAAAGCCCGTGCTAAACTAGCGAGGGAGAACGTGCTAAAAGGACGAGGGAGGTGGGAGGCGGTGAGAGGAAGAGAAAGACTTGCGGGAGCTCGGGTCAGCAAGCTGCAATCACCAACAAGGGCGGAAGCAAAGACTGCTAGCATCGACACCTTCACGAACCACCTTCGCGACACCTTCACGAACCACCTTCGCTTCTCTCGTGCCAGCTGGAAAACCGGTAGTGCCTGGACAGCCCTAAGGCCCTGTGATTCCAGGGACCGCGGCCGTCTAGGAAGGGTCACGCGTGCCCCTCTCTGGGCTGGTGGCTCGTGGAGACGTTTCACTCGGCAGGACCTGACCTTTGGCTCTTTCCGTCCTCTGAGCTGCGAATAGACCGGGCGGCTCTAGCAAGCAGCAACCCCTTGAAAAACTGCCTTCTCCACGGGCTTCCCAGAGGCGAGGTGAGCCTCTCCAGCAGGGTCTCCCCAATGCAGCATCCCACCCCAGCACCCGGGGGGGGCTGAAGGCACGAGAAAGGCGCGTGTCACCAAGAGAAAGGCAAAAACAAACAAAAAGGCGAGCACACCGTGGCGCCCGAGGCGAGACGCCCTCCTTTCCCAGCCTCCCAGGGACTTCTGAGCTCACCCCAGGGCGCAGCCTCCACCGCCGACCTGCGGACCAGCCGGCGCGCGCCTTCGAGCAGTCGCCGGAGCGGCACCATCGCCTGCGCGCGCCCGCGGGGCTTCGGACTTCCTCCCGCGGCGGCTCCGCCCCTGCTCCGCGCCCCGCCTGCCGCACGCGGCGCCCGGCTCTTGAGCGCCCTCTAGCTGGGCGCCGGTGGAACTAACGAGATTTAATTCGTTTAATCCCCCCCTGAGCTGACGTCATTATGCTATGTGCGGTAATATATATGAAGGTTTAGGAATTAGAACGTCTTTGGGAGGTGGAGGGGCATTAACTCAGTCTATCACGGAAAGTTTCCTATCATCTTATTTAAAGTTGGTTGTTGTTTTTTTTTTTTTTGGATGTGTGTTTCAGGGGGTGGGTGGGTAGCAGGAGGAGGAGGAGGCACACCTGGTTATGTTTACTCCTGGTTCTGCACTCAAGGAATTACTCCTGGCGGTGCTTGGGGCGGGGAACCACATGGGATGCGGCTTGGGGGACCCTATGGGATGCTGGAGGTCGAACCCAGGTCGGTCGCATTCAAGGCAAAGCGCCCTACCTGCTGTGCTCTCTCTCTTTCTCTCTCCCTAGCTCTTTGCTCTGTCGCTCTGGAGCCGGGAGCACGTTTTATTAAGAGCCCGCTTTCCCTTGCCCGCGCTCGCGATCGCGGGCGGGGCGCCCCGAACTCTCACGGACGTGGGGGCAGCGCGGGGCCCCGCCCCTGCCGGCCGCCCCGCCGGCTGCGCAGGCGCATTTCCTTCGAGCTCTCTCGGGCTGCTCGGGCCGGCGGGGGTGAGTTGGGGGGCGGGTGCGCCCTGGCCGGGGTGGTCGCAGTTTGGGCGTCTCGGCCTCCGCCACCTCGGCCCCTGGTGGTGATGTGACGGAGCTGGGAGAGAGGCGCCCCCCGCCCTGCGTCCTCCCGATCGCCGCGGAGCCGGGGGCGCCCCGGAGGTCACGGAGGGCCGAGCGGGAGAGGGCGCCGTCGGGGTCTCCGCGAGGCGACTGGGGGCGCCCCGGGGGGAGTCGGGCTGGCCGGGGAGGACCCCCCGCCCCGATTCATCATCCACCTCGCGGCGATCGAGGTGCACGGCAGCCCCACACCCGTCGTCTTCCGTTCGGGGCGCTCTCTCCTCCCAACGCATTCCTCCCCCCCCCCCCCCCCCCCCCATGAAGCTTGGGATGTGTTTTTTTGTGACTGCTTCGAGTAAGTGCCAGGTGCTCTCTAGATGAGCTGTTTGAGGGGGTCCTAATCCCCATCCACCACTTCCTGCCGCGGAATCCCCAGCGAAGCCACTTGACCTGAGTCTGTGTCTATTTCTTGAGTGTTACTTAGGGGGTGGGGGAGGCGGGTAATCTTGTAACCTCTTTCGTTAGGTGGTTAGGATGAGCATTGAGGTCGTATTTCAAGGGCCCCCTGTCACCCCCATTGAGTTTCAGAATAAAAATAAGTGCCGTCCACGTTCTTTTACCTTGGTATGTAAAACTATCATATTCCCCGAAATTGATTGCCTAAGGGTTGGAGGGTGGGTGGGGGGGATGTTCCGTTTTGAGAATAGGAATTTTTGATTTGCAAAGTCTTTCAAAAGAATCAAAATGTTCAAAAACTTGGTTTTACAGTTCTACATTAGGGCACAGACAGATGTTAGAATAAAGCTGAAGTTGAAAACTGTGAAGTTTGATGCTTGAGGAATCTTGTGGGGAAAATAGCTAGAAAGTACTTGATACGAAAAAGAGTTAACTTTAAAAATTTTTTTTAACTTCTCATTTTGGTTAGCAGTTTGAAACTGCCAGTTTTCAGAAGACCTGTTTGCAAAGTTAGCCTTCATTTGACACTTTGACTTGGATTTTGGAGTGGGGACAGTATGGTAGATGTGCAAATTATGTCTTTATACAAATCTTGTGAATCCCTGGGTAGTTACCACTCTTTAAGAAAATCTTGTGAGTATCTGGGTAGAAACAACGCACGAGCATTGCTGGATTTTCTTGATTGGAGGGCAAGGGGGTAGGATTTTCTCTTTAACACAAGTGGGAGGGAGTTCTGGTAAGGAAAACCATGGATTCTTCCATTTTCCTCCTGTGTCTTTTCTATGGATCAGGCTGTATTAATATTAATCTGTGGTAAGCAAACAGCCATAAATATATCTATACACCGAGTCCTAGTGACATTTCAAATGTGAGAATAATTTTGGAGATGCCCAGCTATAGTACTAATAGTAGAAAGTATATGAAGCACTAATCATTGGATTTTTAGTTCATCTCTTTTGCCTTAAAGGATAATGGAACAAGAAAACTGTGCAGATAATTAACTTATTGCTAAGCACTGGGTTGCTATTCAAAATGATTCTGTATGTGTAGACGTATTGTATAGGTGAAAAAAAATTGAAAAATGACTACATGGCAAAGTTAAATTTGAATCAGTGGTTATGAAAAGAAATACAAGTATTTTATAGAATCTGTTAAATACCAGGGCTATTATTTTTTTTTAATCCTGTTGGCGTTATCCTATGTTAATATGCATCTTTATTAAGAGTTTGCCATTGTCATTGAGAAAAGTCTATGACCTGTTTCTCATGAATTGTTTTTTCTGGATCCTAGTAGTTATGTTTTATGTCTTTTAGGGCATCCAATTAAAATACTTAGGGGGTGGGACGGTGTAGGAAACAATATGAAGAAAAAAATACAAAGGAAAAAGAATTTTTTTTAAAGATACAATAGTTTGGAGCTGAGGAGATAGAGCTGAAGTGATAGAGCATGTAGCTAGCAAATTTGAGGCCGAGTTTGGTTCCCAAAACATCTGCCTGCACCCAAGCACCTTTAGGTGTGATTTCTATTTAAAAATAAATTAGAAATTAGAAATTACTGTTACAGTAGTACTGTAAGCTATGATACCTCAATTAAAGTCAAATAGTTCGGATATTTGGGGGGTGGAAAGATCACATGCCATCTGATTCTTTCCCCCTCAGTAAAGTAGAAGACTAAATTTTTTTGGAAAGTGGGGAGGTGAAGGAGTTGGAGATTTGGGAGAGTAAAAAAGGTTTCAGATGGCTTTCTGAGAGTCCAGGTAGGCAAATTTTGCAGAAAATGTTGATAATGGTATGTCTTGAGCTATTTGAGGTTGTGATTATGAATTTAGCTATCAAGTCTGCCTCTTTCATTTTAGTTAATTTATTTTATGGGGGAGCCACACCTGACAGTGCTCAGGGTTTAACTCCTAGCTCTGTGCTCAGGAATCACTTCTGGCAGGGCTCAGGAGACCGCATGGGATGATGTTATGTATAGAGTGTGGGTTTGTCTTGTTCTAGGCAAGTTACCTACCTGCAGTACTGTCTCTTAGCACCTGTTCACTTTCTTTAATGGGTCTTTATCTCACTTGATTGGATCCAGACATGGAAAAAAAAAATAGTTCATTCAGTTCACTTAGGATCGGTGTTCCACAAGGGATAACAGCTTAGTCATTAAGGCTTTGCGTGCATATTCTGTTCTTATACGTGATAAGGATACATGATAAGGTTTCACTTTGTATACTTACATTTATGACTGCTTGAAGTTGAATGTGGCCATGAGAGTTGTTTTGCGCAGTACAATAGCAGATGTAAGGTGATGTGTCCTGGTAAAGCTTTTAACAACTGGCACTTTGGACCAGGGAGATAGTGAAGGAGTTAAGGGAAGACCCTGAGTTCACCGCCCCCCCCCCCTCCCCAGCACACATGGTCCCTACCCTGCAGCACTGGTGGGTGTGTCTGTTGGCCAGGTATGGATGGAAGCAGCAGCATGCCCGAGTGGTACTTGGATAAGTCCTTCCCTCACCACTCCCACCCCTGGCCTTTAAAAAGAAAAAGAAAACACCTCCGCCTTTATATGGCAGTTGGAAGCTCTTGATGAGATGCAACCTTTTGTCGGCCTGGGCTGAAAATAGGAGTAGCTAATCACGTGAGCGAAAACAATTTGGAACTTGTGATGCAGAGAAAGTAATACTTGAATTAGTGATTTTTTGCAAGATGGAACTGGAGAGGTAAGGTGTGTGTAGACATATTGTGTAGGTGGAAAAAACCCGAAAAATGACTACATGGCCAAGTTAAGCTCGAGTCAGTGGTTGTGAAAAGAGATCCAAGTGTTTTATAGAGTCTGTTAAATATCAGGTTATTTTTATCCTGTGAGCATTATCATATGTTAATACGCGTTGGTGGGAAAAGATTAGTGGGAGAAAGCAGTAACAGATGAAGTAATTAACGAGTACCTTGTACATGTGTGTAACTCTGAAGGTCTTAATTATTGGGGTTCAGTTGTGATGACTGATGGATTTCCGTGAATCTCAGGGGCCAGGGAGATGGTGCAAAGGATTGGCGTGAATTAGCACGTGGTAGACCAGGGTTTCAGTCCAGGATCTGAGTGGTCTTCTCTAGCACTGCCAGAAGCAATATCCCCCACCACCCCGGCCCCAGCACCCTTTGGATTGGCTCCCAAACAACCAACAAAAACAAAGGTATGACTCAGAATGGTAAACTCAAAAGCTTCCTTTTGTGGAACATGGAATGACTAATTTAACATTCCAAATTTATTGTTGAAAGATTCTTTCCCCTTGATCTATAAGAGCAAACAAATAACCATGAATATTATAATGTAACTTAGCTACAGAGTTAGGAGTTAGAATTTAGTCTAAGCTACTCTAACAGAGACTTCAAAATAGAAATCCTCGACTTGTGTCTAAAATCTTTAGTATTAACGTGGAGTTCTTTTTTGATAGTTTTGATTTGATTTTGGGGCCACACCCAGCAGTACTCAGGGCTTACTCCTGACTCTGCTCAGGGTTCATTACTGGCTGTACTTGTGGGACTAGATGTGGTGCTGGGATTTGAACCTGGATTGGCCACGTGCAGGGCAAGCAACCTTACCCGCCATACAGCTCTGACCCCAACTTGGAGTTTTGAAGAACTGGAAGGGATGGTGGTAAATACCACCATAGAGACTCATTCATTGTGGTATGTTATCCAACCTTGCGATTCACAGTATGGTAAGTGACTCCTCAGCATGAGTTTCCCTTTGGGAACTCGTATTTAGAATCTCAGGTCCTCTGCCAGACTGAAGCAAAAATCTGCATTTTAACAAGCTTCCTAAGTGTAGTGTCTCTTAAACAGGGATTGTCTTGGGACCTTAAAAAATGGACCTTAAAAGTTGTAAGTGTCTCTCTTAAAGATATTAAAGAGGGTCTAGAGTGATAATATAGTGAGTAGGATGCTTGCCACTCATGTAGCCAACCTAAGTTCAGTCTAATTCAGTCTCTGGCATTGGCATCCCATATGGTCCCCTGGGCACCACCAGGGGTAATTCCTGAGTGCAGAGCCAGGAGTAACCCCTGAGCATCACCAGGTGTAACCCTCAAACCAAAAGCAAATAGGAAGATATTAAAGAGACATAAAGCACTACAAAGAGTAGTTCTACCATCATTGTTACCTTGGTTAAATCACTCAAAAAAATCAATATTGAAGAAACTTTTGGCTGAACTGAAAAATTAAGGTATGATGGAATATTAAATGAAATTAGTTTTCTTATTTTTTATTGTTGTTTGGGCCACATCTGGCAGTGTTCCTGGCTCTGTGCTCAGGAACCAGTCTTGATAGTGCTTGGGGGACCATATGGGATATCGGGGATCAAACTGGGGCTGGCTGTGTGCAAGGCAAGTGCCGTATCCACTGTACTATCACTCCTGCCCCCAAATTATTGTTTTCTTATATTTGATAATGGTGTTGTGATTTTCTTTGCTTTGGGGCATATTAAGTCATGCTTAGAAGGTCCAGGGACGCCTTCATGTGATTCTTGTCTGAACTGGCCGTTGTTTTAACATCAGGGCCCAGGGATGTGCTGGTTACCCAGGCAACCCCTCTGGTGCTCTAGGGTTGCACTTGGCAGTGATTGGGGGCCATGTTTGTGGTGATGAGGATTGAACCCACGTCAGTCAGGATTGACCTTCCTTCAACTCATGCAGGGCACATGCCTCAACCCCTATACTATCTTTCCAGGCCCCTGTACTATTTTAAGTCTCGTGAAAGCTTAAACATACTGTTTTGACCAAGAATGGGAAAGGGGAGCATAGTGAGGTTGGTCTCCTGGGTGGCTGATGAAATCTTGTGGGAGTTCGGAGTGGGATGGGGCATTTGTCATCCTCCACTTAACCCACCTATCTCCCTGGGGAAAGGCCTGGAGGAGTTAGAACTATTCTTGCACCAGCCCCACAAGGCAGCCAAAAGTTGTACCTGTGGCGCCCTTGATCTCCAGGGCACAGAACTTGATCCCACCACCCACATTTTCATGAAGCTGTAACTTTGGGCTGAGGTGAAGGATTGGCTCTGCAGGGAAGTCCTGACCACTGTCCAGGTTTCCCAGGTTCATGGCTTACCCTCGCGGAAAAGAACTTCAGGAGGGGACCATTAGTGAAATAGAATAGTTTTATTTAGGGCATATGAATAGTTGGGAGGGGAAGAGGGGGAGAGGGAGAGAGAGGAGAGCAACAGAATGGGCTTCTAGGAGGGAGAGCCTGGAATGGCTTTGGGTAAGGCTTATTTATGAATCTTTACTTTGACTTGCCATTCTAGGGTTACACAGATTAATCAGGGTGTTGTCACAGGGGAAGAGCTTTAAAGGTTTTGTTGGCCACTTTTTTTTTTTTTTTTTTGCTTTTTGGGTCACACCTGGTGATGCTCAGGGGTTAGTCCTGGCTCTGCACGCAGGAATCACTCCTGGTGGTGCTCAGGGGACCATATGGGATGCCAGGGATCGAACCCAGGTTGGCCACATGCAAAAATGCCCTACCCGCTGTGCTATCGCTCCGGCCAAGGGCCACTTTTATATTCTTATCATAGCCTTTTGTTCTTGTTGAAGCTTCTCCTCACCTGAGTCCTGTTCTGGGTCCTGAGGCTTCTCACCTCAGTTTCTGTATCTCTAAAGGGGATCCTACCTCCTTGGGACTGCTTTAGGGCTGCATGCAACTTGGTTTTATTAATTCTTGAGAAACTCACTGCTCTCCATCTGCCAGCCTGCTTCATTTATGACCCGGAAGCAGCTCTAATTCCGCCAGTCAAAAGTGAAGTCTTTTTCATTCACCTGGAACCTCATATAGCTCAAGAACACTTGGTAAAGTCAGAAGTAAAGTGCAATATGTATGCTTATTTAATAAAAATTTATTTGGCTTTAGCTGACATTTGTCTTTTCTTCCTTTGCTGACTTAACAGGCCATCTAGAATTGAAGTCATTTTAACTTTAATATGCATTGATATAAAATACCTCAAATTTTCGTTTTAAGGATTAAAGTGTATTCATTTTCCCTCTCAACCCTTTTCAGTAGGTAACAGATGCGGGTCAAAGAGCCATCCAAAGCTTTACCTGAAAAAGTCAAAAGAAGTAAAAGACCTACTATACCTCATGATGAAGACTCCTCAGATGATATCACTGGTAAATTGTGCTTATATGGCATCCTAATATTGTCATGGATAAAACAAAATGTTTTTCGAGGGTGCTGTGGTTCAATCCCAAGGCCTTGTGTGTGCAGTGCAAGTGCTCAGCACTGATCTCTAACCCCTTTCCCCCCATATATATTTTGTTTGTCTTGGGGCCACACCCGGTGGTGCTCAGGGGTCACTTGTGGCAACGCTTGGGGAACCATATGTGGTGACAGATATCAAACCTGGGCCTCCTACATGCGCAAAATATGTGCTCCAGCCTCTTTAGTCATCTTTCTCCCCCCCCCCCCCCGCCAATATATCTTTAATTAACAAATCCTTTGCTCTTTATTTTCTCCCTTTTCCTGTGTTAGCTTTAAAATTACCTTGTCTGGTTTCAAAAAATCCTATTGGTGGAGCCTGAGATAATAGTGCAGTAGGTAGGGTGCTTGCCTTGCACTCGACCCACCTGGGTTCAATCCCCAGCATCTGTTATGCTCGCTGAAGCCTGCTAGGAGATTCCCTGAGTTTAGAGCTAGGAGTAAGTAAGCCTTGATTGAGTACAGCCAGGTGTGACCCAACAGCCAAAATACAAAAATTCTATTGGTGTTTTTATTTTTATAAGCCACACTCAGCAGTGCTCAGGGCTTACTCCTAGGTCTGCAGTCAGGGATCACACCTGGTGGTGTTTAAGGGGTGCCAGGGATTGAACCCAGGTGGGTCACATGCAAGGCAAGTGCCTTACCTGTTGTATTATCCTGACCCATTATTGGTGTTTTTATTGATTGTATTTTATAAAGGAGCTTAGAATTTGAGCTTTTTTTTCCTTTTTCTTTTTTTTTTTTTTTGAGGGGGATCCATCTTTGTATTTTATAAAGGAACTTAGAATTGGTCCTATTTTATTTTGGTTTTTCTCAAAGCCTGTTACAACCAGCCTCCCAGCCACTGTGCTGTGCTGATGACACTTAAGAGTGCTGACTTGACTTGAGTTTTTCTTTGGCCTTGTACGTTCATTTGGATTTCTTAGAATTTCCCTTGCATTCTTGTTCTCCATAGAAAGATATTTTTGTTTTTGAAGTGCTCAGAGCTTCTCTGGTAGAGCCTTGAGCTATTTCTCTAGTCCCTAAAAAGTGATGATAATTATATCATAATAATGCTCATCTACCTGAAAGTATTTTGTGTATCTAAATGAAAAGAAAAAGTACAAAAATGTATTGAATAGTAGCTGTTTAACATGTCATTTACTAAATATATATATATAAATTTATAAATAATATATATATATATCGGGCTGGAGCGATAGCACAGCGGGTAGGGCGTTCGCCTTACAAGCGGCCAACATGGCCGACCCGAGTTCAATTCCTCCGCCCCTCTCTGAGAGCCCGGCAAGCTACCGAGAGTATTGGATATGCCAGACACAGTAACAACAAAGTCTCCAATGGAGACGTTACTGGGCCCGCTCGAGCAAATCGACGATCAACGGGAGGGCCTTTACTTACTTTACTTACTTTAAATAATATATATATTCAACTGTATTTGGCATATTGAATATGTCACGGGTAGCTTGCCAGGCTTTTTGCTGTGCGGGCAAGATACTCTTGGTAGCTTGCCGGGCTCTCTGAGAGGAGCGGAGGAATCGAACCCGGCTCTGCCAGGTCGCAGTAACAACGAGTCTCATGATGGAGACGTTACTGGGCCCGCTCGAGCAAATCGATAAACAATGGGAGGACAGTGCAGTGCATATATATTCAAATTTTTGGTTTTGAGGGCCGTACCTGATGATGTTCAGGGCATCCTCCTAGCTCTGTGCTCAGGGATTCATTTCTGGCAGTGCTTGGGGGACCATATGTGGTGCTGGGGGACCAAATTAGGGTTAGTCACATGCAAGGCAAGACCCTTAATCCCTGCATTATCTCTCCTGCTCTTTACTTTTGAACTTTACTTTTTGCTTTTTTTTTTTCTTTTTGCGTCATACCTGGTGATGCACAGGGGTTACTCCTGGCTTTGCACTCAGGAATTATTCATGGTGGTGCTCGGGGGACCATATGGGATGCCGGGAATAGAACCCAGGTTGGCCACGTGCAAGGCAGACGCCCTACCCACTGTGCTATCGCTCCAGCCCTACTTTTTACTTTTGAACTTTATATTTTACTTTTGAACTTTTTAGGTTCACAGGAAGGTGTAAAGAAATATACAAAGAGGTCCCACCCAGCCTTTGCTGATTTAATATATTACATTTAATAAATGAACAACGGGAGGACAGTGACAATGACATTTAATAACCACTGAGCGATAGCACAGTGGGTGGGGCGTTTGCCTTGCACACGGTCTACCCAGGTTCGATTCCTTAGTCCTTCTTGGAGAGCCCGGCAAACTACCGAGAGTATCCCGCCCGCACAGCAGAGCCTGGCGAGCTCCCTGTGGCATATTCGATATGCCAAAAACAGTAACAAGTCTCACAATGGAGACATTACTGGTGCCCGCTCAAGCATATCGATGAACAATGGAAGGACAGTGCTACAGTGCTGCATTTAATAATATAGTATCAAAACCTGGAAAGTAATATACAGACAGTTCTTAGAGTATATAGATATGTCACCAGACAGACATATATGCCACCTGTGTGTATGTAGCTCTGTGCAGTTTTTAGGACTTGTGCTGCTTTGTATAACACACTCAAGGTACCCAGGGGCTTCCTGTTACAGCCACAGATTCTCCCTCATAGCCATCGTTCTGGTCTATGAGGACTACAAGAACTCCTCTGTTCATCAGCTCTGTAATCAAGTTGTTTATGAATGTTTTATAAGTGAAATACAGCATGAAATTATTTGGGTTTATTTTGGGGGTTTTCCACTCTGCTTTTTAATTACAATGTTTTATTTTTCAGTTTTTATTTATTTGGGTGGGAGTTCCCCATACATACTCAAGAGAGCTTGGGGCCCTACCTAGCCAGGAGCTCTATGTGAGAGTCCCAGGATGTGGTGCAGCTTGAGCCTTGCAGTGCCAGGGATATTACCCAGGCCATCCCAGAGGTGGCAATGGCACTACGGTAGGCAACGTGGAAGATATGCCTTAACACGCCTTAATCCCCTATCTTATCTCTCTGGCCCCTACAGTATTTCTTTCTTTTTAAAAATTTTTTTGAGGGGGGTGCTACATCTTTGGGGATCTCTCCCAGCACAGCACAGTGCTTGGGGATCACTCCCCGCGGTTCTTAGTGGACTGGGCAGTGTCAGGAACGGAACCAGGTCTGGGTGCCATACAAGTGCTCTACCACTGAACCACATCCCAGGCTGTTAAAATTTGCTCATTGATGGTAACACTTTGCTTTAACAAGGAAAACGTTCACATTTTGTTTTCTTTTCAGTAGGCTTCACTTGTCAGCATGTAAGTTCTGCTGTCAGTGTGACTCAGGTGAAAAGAGCCATAGCTGAGAATCTATGGTCGGTTTGCTCAGAATGTTTAAAAGAAAGAAAACTCTTCGATGGACAGCCAGTACTTGCTTCTGATATTTGGTTGTGCCTCAAGTGTGGTTTTCAGGTGAGAGAAGTGGTGTTTTGTTTTGTGTTGGGATTTGAACCCACGGCCCTGTACTTGGAAGTTAGCCTCCCTGGCCAAGAAAAGTGTTTTTTGTTTTTCCAGATGAGTAAGTTTGTCTTAATTATTATCCCTAAACTTCTTGCTGTGAGTTGGATTGTTGATTGTGCATAGAATTTTAAGATAAATTTGTTCTTTGTTTTAATGAACTCTCTTTAAGGCTTTAGTGTTTAGAAATGTTTGATGAGGTAAAATAAAAGATGGGTTCTATTTAGAAAAAAATTGCATGTGGTTTATAAATGTTTTCAAAGGGAAAACAACCACTTGCCATAATTTTTATTTCTGGACTTACCCTGATTTGTGTGCAATTTTTTCCCACCTTATTGTTTATTTATTGTTTTGTTTTGTTTGGGGGACTATACTTAGTGGTGCTTAGGGCTTTCTCCTGGCTCTGCACTCAGGATTTACTGCTAGTGGAGTTTGGGGGAACCAGATGGCGTGCCAGGATCATATTTTGCTCACTGTTCTATTGCTCCAGTCCCAAGAGTGTTATATTTATTTTTATTTATTTACTTGTTTTGCCAAAAACAGTAACAATAACAGGAGCCTGAAAGAAAGAGCCTCCAATACAGCAGAGTAGGGAGAGGCTGCTAAAATCTCAGGGCTGGGATGAATGGAGATGTTACTGGCACCTGTTCAAGTAAATCAATGAAAAACGGGATGACAGTGATACAGTGATACTTGTTTTGGGGCCACATCTAGTGGTGCTAAGGGAGTATCTCTGGCTTGATGATGGCTACTCCAGGCAGTGCTCAGTGGACTATGCAGTGCCAGGATCCATCAGGGGCTCTGTATGCAAAGCACATGTACTTGCTCTCTTATCTTCTCAGTATTTTTATTTGATTTTTTTGGTAAAATAAAAATAGCATGAAAGCCATTGAAAATTCAAATTTTCAAAATAAATTTTAAAGTATGTACTTTATTTTTTAAAGAGAAATCTTGGTCTTTTTTTGGGGGGGGTCACACCCACCGGCAACGCACATGTGTTACTCGTGGCTCTGCACTCAGGAGTTACTCCTGGTGGTGCTCAGGAGACCATATGGGATGCTGGGAATCAAATGCAGGGTCGGCCGCCCCCTACCCACTGTACTATCGTTCCAGCTCCAAATCTTGGTTATTTCACTTAGAAACTATGACCACTTCAGAGCTAATTATTTGAATAGAGAGAACATTAAACACTGAGTTATCTTCCATTTTCCTGCCACGCCAACTTTAGTTTTATGGTTTCAGGCTGGGCAAACATGCTTCATGCATTCTGTATCACACAGCTGCCTCTAGAGTCAAAAAGAAGACAAAATTCCAACCCTCCCCTGTGTTCCTTTTTAAAATATCTAACTCTTCCACAGATAGATCCAGCAAACTACTCCTTATGTCCAACAGACTGGAACTGAATCTTGCTTATTTTCTTATCTGGTGGGAAGTGACTGTGATCGTCTGAGTCTCACTGGTTCTCACTGGAGTTGGGGTATTGGTGTGTACAATAGGAGGAAACATATGTATAGGGAGAGGTGCTTTCCCCTGCAGACGCAGAGAGGCCCAACATGTTTAAATGAGAGGGAAATGGCTTGGCTCCTGATTATTGTAGGTAAATAAACAAAAAGGTTAGCCTCTTTGCAAGAAATTAAACTTTATGAGAAGTTATATAGCTGCTTGAAATTTGCTCCAGCCGCTTGAAGTGAAAACTAGTCACTATAAGTTTGAGAATGATGAAAGTTCTGTTCAATCTAAACAGCCTTCTTTGTGAATCTTACAAATAACTTATTCTGTTCACCTTCAGGGGTGTGGTAAGAACTCTGAAAGCCAGCATTCACTGAAGCACTTCACGAGTTATAGATCAGAGTCTCACTGTATTGTAATTAGCCTCAACACTTGGAGTATATGGTGAGTTAAGTTTGATAGTATTTATGTCTACCACACACACAAAAAAGATCTCATCTTAAAAAATTTAAAGGTGGTGTATCTGCTTATACCTTTGTTTTTGCTTTTTTGGCCCACAATGGACTATGCTTGGAGTGCCAGTGCCGATACTATGCTTGGGGTTACCACTTGTAGTGCTGGGGGGACCCTGTGGTGTCAAAATTGAACCCAGACTTAAGCCCATGAAGGATGGACTCAGCCTATGAAGCTCTCCCTCTGGCCTTTTGGTTCAGGAGTCCCTTCCCTCGATTTTCAGTTAACTGAGCCTCCAATCCGAGTTTGGGTCCCCGCAGTGCTGGTGGTAACACTGACAACCCTACTCCAGAGCTCTGAGGGCCTCCAAGAGCTGTACCAGGCGATGTTGGCAGATCATGTGGTGCCAGAATCGAACTGGGCCTCCATTTGTACCTTAACTCCTGGACTATTTTTTGGCCCATCTCCAAAAAACATTGAAAAATTGATCTTTAAAAAAATTGAAATCACTACTGTTTCTACTTGCAAATCAAACTGTTATTTCTCTCCAGATCTGCTGCTTTTACTTCTCCTGTTGCTCCCCAATCTGACTAGAATCAGAGTGACATTTTCTTAAATTTTTTTTTTCGTTCTCCTTTTTTTGGTCGTTGGGCTGCATCTAGTGATACTCAGGGGCTACTACTTGACTTGGTGCTTGGTGGACCCTGTGGTGGTGAGATTGAATCCAGGCCTCCTGCATGCAAAGCAAAGTGCTTAGCTCATTGGGCTATCTCTTACCCAATATAAATTGGGTCATATTATTTCTCTGTGTTAAGAAACCCTCATGGCATTCCATTATACTGAGGATGAACTATCAAAACTTTAATCTCAAAGACTAGATAGTCTCGTCACTTTCGATTTAACCTAGTGCCTTCATCCTGTAAACCCTGTGCCTTTGTAATTGAAAGACAGAAATGGGTTAATATCAACTTTATTATCTGATATGCAAAATTATTGAAGGTCACTTCATAATATGTGCTTAAATGTTTGTATCTTTTCAGGTGTTATGACTGTGATGAAAAATTATCAACACACTGCAATAAGAAGGTTTTGGCTCAGATTGTTGATTTTCTCCAGAAACATGTTGCTAAAACACAGAGAGGTAAGTTGAGTATTTTGTTGAAGACATTTGTATTAAAGAACAATATTTCATATTTCACATAAAAACTTTATAAAGATTTTTTTTAAACTGTTTTTTGTTTGGGTGTCACAGCTGGCAGTGCTCAGCGACCATTCTCTCTCTCTCTCTCTCTCTCTCTCTCTCTCTCTCTCTCTCATTTTTGGGTCATACTCAGTAATCACTCCTGGCAGTGCTTGGGGGGGGATATATAGAATTCTGGAGATCGAACCCTGGTCAGCTGCATGAAGGCAAGCACCCTCCTTGCTGTATGTACTATTGCTCAAGCCCTAATAAGTTGTTGGCTTTTTTTGGTTTTGTTTTGTTTTGTTTTGTTTTTTGGGTCACACCCAGAGATACTCAGGGGTTACTCCTGGCTTTGCACTCAGGAATTACTCCTGGTGCTGCTTGGGGGACCATAATGGATACAGAAAATCCAACCCTGGTCTGCCCCATGCAAGGCAAACACTCTACCCACTGTAGTAACACTTAGGCACTGATATGTTATTTTTAATGTAATGTAGCATAGCTGTGACACTAGCTACTTCTTGTTAGCCTAATGCTGCAGTCAGGATTCCGTCCCCCACATGATCACACTTCTTTCAGTAATAGGCCTTTCACTAACCAGTCTTCTCAGGCCACCAGTACTTCTTAACAATTGGCTACACATTTAGGGGAAATCCTCTTACATCTATGTAATTTGCTACAATAACTCAGAAGACTCAGAAAAATATTATACTTACAACAAAAATTTTTATTACAACCCCCCCCCCACACACACACACACTTCCCCCTCAAAAGTACACCTCAGTCCTAGCAAAACAAAAACAGAAACAAAAAGTGATATGTGAGGGTGAGGGTTCCCAAGATAAAGCTTCTGGGTCTTCTTGTTTAAGGAAAGATGACTGCTTTGTAGATCTTTGTTGGCTAAGAGTGGAGGTGGAGAGATGACTTAAGTAAATTAAAGGAGGTTATTGTGTTAAGGGTAGGTCGAAGGTTTAGAGAAGCGCCGGAACCTGGATGGATCCAGTATGGTGAGTGGGAAGAGTTGGAGGAATCAAGTATAAACTACTTGACATGGTTTGGCAGATGGACACAGTAGTTTTCAAATATCTGTGGTACAGAATTTGAACTGCTTAGAAGGTGGTATCAGAGACTGAACACACTGGAAACACTTCGGCTAGATTTATTTTGGTGGGGCCTCACCCAATGGTTTTCAGAGACCAACTCTGGGTGGTGCTCAGGGGGACCTCGTGGTGCTGAAGACTGAATTCAGGGCTCCTGCATGCAAAGGATGCTCCCCAACCCTTTGACTTATTTCCCCAGCTCTCAGCAGTTTTGTGTGTGTGTGTGTGTGTGGTTTTTTTTTTTTTTGAAGTGGAGGAAGGACCTTTTCGTTGGTGCTCAGTGGGCCCAGGGATCACTCTAGTTGCAATTCAGCTAGTTGAGGATTTTATTATTGATTCCACAGACATTTATTGAACTCCTACTTTAGTGTCCAAATCTTACTAGTACCCAGGCATCCTTGTCATAACTCACAATTTGCTGAAATAAAGAACCCATATAACTTTAAACTCAAAACTGCATAGTCAATTTGTTGACTATAAATAAATAGATATGTTGGGATCTGACATCAAGAGTTGTGACAGTACAACTGTAAGAGGTTATTTTCTCTGAAAAATATTTTTTTTTTTTGGTGGTGGTGTTGGTGTCAAAGGGTTTCATTTGCAAGTCAGTTATCCTGCCACTTAGCCACATCCTGGCCCATTTTTCATCAATACTTTTTTTTTTTAATCTTAGAGCATCTTTGAGGTTAAGAGCAAAACTAGTCTGCCTGAATTAAATTTCACAGATATTTTGTTTTTATTTTTGTATGCAACTGATTGTGCCTAGGGCTTACTCCTGGCTCTGTGCCCAAAGATCACTCCTGTTGATGGTTGGGGGATCATATATGGCGTCAGGGATCTAACTCAGGATGGTCATGTCAGGATAAGTGCCTTATTGCTGTACTGTCTCCAGTCTTGAATATTATCACAAAGAATAGACATACGGTCAGGAGTGTACTGTGCAATAGTAGAACTCAAAGAACATAGCTTTAAGAGCAGAAGGGGGAGTAGTGGAACAGTTTTCTGCAATTACTAGTGACACGACCTTGGAAATATTTGAATTTCACTTTTCTCCCCTTCTCTCTCCCTCTATCCTGTGGTGTTTAGGTAGTAGAGTTTGGTAAGACAGTTTTTTTTTCCCCCCTAAGAACTTTAAAATCTAAAAGAAGGTGTGAGATACTGTAAGCAGAGTGGAGGCAAATTTGTATTTTGAGAGAATTAAAAATTTAAAAAAAAAAACACAAAAAACCAAACCCCTTCACCTATTCAAAGAACAAGGCACTCAAAGAGAGCCCTGTGCTTCATAGGTAGATAGGAGAGAAGAAATCATTTCAGGTAGTGGAAAGCATCAGTCTGAGCCTTGATTGTGCTTATAGAATCACGAAGTACACCTGGGGCAATGGTTTAAGTTAAAAGTCAAGGAGAGGCATACAGTTGAAGTCAAGGCTTTAGGAGTTCTAGGGCGAAATGTTACTATCTTTATGTTTCAAGCTACAGCAGCTCTCAGGCAAGTTTGACTTAAAATTCCTTATTGTAAAATTTTTGGGGGACAGAAATCTGCCCTATTCTTTCTTATCTAAACGCTGCACTATAAGTTTTCAAAATACCTTTTAAAAGGAGTATCAGTTCATTTATTGTGTTTTTATTTATTGTTTGATTTTTGACCACACCTGGCAGTGCTTAGGACTTATTCCTGGCTCTGCACTTATGGATCACCCCTGGTGGTGTTTGGGTGCTGGAGATTGAACCTTGTTCAGCTACATCCAGGGAAAACGCGCTACCCGCTACACTATTTGCGCTGGTCCCAGCAGAGTCTTTTTAGTGTGTTTTTAGTGATGTAAGATATATTATGCAGCTGTCTTATTGTTTTGGTCTGTTTTTGGGGTGCTCAGGGGTTACTTCTGACTCTGCTCTCAGGAATCACTCCTGGTGGGTTTTGGGGGCCAGATGGGGTACCAGGGATTGAACCCAAGTTAGAGCCTGTAAGGCAAGCACCCTACCCGCCATATTTTTTCTGCAGTCTTCATAAATGACTGTTTCTTTTTCTGCTTTTTTTTTTTTTAAATTATGTAGTTTTTACTTGGTGGTTTTGAAGGAAAGGAGGGAGAGAAAGTGGGAGAGAGTGGAGAGTAACATGCTCAAGAGAGAACCCGGGCTTCTCCAAGGGTGGAGAGGGCCCCTACACACATTCCAGCAGTAGACATGAAAGCATGAATGTAGACATAGCAAGAGGGGAGATTTGGGCAACACATGTGCTTGGCCACGTAGACACAAGCAGCACATGGACTCAGACAGCATATGTGCGCTCTTTTTCTATTTTTTAACAAAGTGAAAATGACACTACTGAGAGGAAAGCCTGGACCTAGATGTGACCTTAAGCTTCGTCTTTTTTCTTTTTGTGTTGGGGAATGAAACCAGGTATCATGCGCCCCACATACCCAGTCCCTCTAATCATGTTTTAGGGATCTAACATATGAGCTTTTTTTTTTATTATATATATATATATATTACATTTAGTTCAGCCTCTCTACACAGAAATCTAGATTGATGGTCTGTGAGTCTCAAAAGGCCTCTCTCCTGGTCTCAATAAACTCTTTAACCTTAGAAAAAATTTTGAGCCCTTAGCTTTTGCTTAGACAGGTCGTATCTGTCAATGTCTGCCATATTAGAAATTTAAACAAATGAACAAAAAATCTTAAGTAGGTACAAATTTACTGAAAAATAGTAATTTCATACCCTATTAAGTTCATACCCTATTAGGGTTCAGCTTAGTAGAAACAGCTGAATTCTCATATTTACTTTTCCATTCAACCTGTTGTGATACGGTGTGACATGTGGCCTCTGGAAATCTGCCTTGTGTAATTGAGAATGAAAGAAAATGGAAAAATACAAATAACATGTTAGGCTTATTAACGAAAATACTTTTGACTTGAACAAACCCTGAAAGGAGGCAGGAGGGTGTCTCTGTATCGCTTTGTGAATTGCCGCACCAGCAAATTTTAATCACTTAAGACTCAGTGCCTTGCTACTTTCCTGACCCTCTCTCTTATCTCTTCTACAGTAAGTCATACTTTAGAATCGATTACCATAGTGAGAGCCAAATATGAACTAAAATTTAATGCAATATTTATTTTTTTTAAAAGAACCTAGTAATACATGATTTTGTGAAACCTAGTAATGTAGGATTTTGTGGTATTTAGCTTTTGTGTGTAGATATTATTTACAACATTCTTTGAGGATTGTATCCTAGTTCATTCCTTTTTATCTTAAAGTGGCTAGGCGGTAAATATTTTTCTGAATTGCCTGAACTAGCATGTGGCCAGTTTTTTGGTGAGGAAGTAGATGAACTTGGTATTTCCCCCCCTCCCCCCCCCTGCCCCGTGCTGGGAATTGAACCTCAGGCTTGATACTTGGGGAGCATGCACTCTAGCACTGAGCTGAATTCCTGGCCACGCTTTACATTATTACTAAATATAAACACTGAATTCTGATGCCAAAATGATTCAGCTTTTTAAAAAACGTTCTGAGTTTCTACCTTGGTGCTGTAAGATAAGATATAATAGTGAATTAAACGAATCCACTGATACTGTTTTCTGGTTCCAGCGAGGGTTGTTGACAAATTATATAATTTTATTTGGTGTGTGTGGGGGGCGGGGGGGGGCGGGCGGCAGGCATGGTGCCGCAGTGCATTCCCAGTGGTGATCAAGGACTATTTCTGGCTCTCTGCTCTGCTGGGACAAATCACTGAATTTTTTTGCTGATTTAAATAATGCCATCATGCAGGCAATACAGGGACTGTAAACACTTTGGAGTACATTCTAACTTGGACCAGAGGAACCCAGGGACATTTCATTTTCAGGAAGCGCCTTCTAAACAAGA